GTAGTAGTAGTAGCAGTAGTGGTACTGCATTCCAAAAACGACAAGCCCGACCCCGCTCGCCGCGCTGTGGAGGAGATTCTTGAGTTAGGCAACCAACACCGGGCATGCGCGAAGGAACTGACCCGAACACAACATATTCTTACGGCGGCCGACTTAGTGCCGGGTGATGAGACGACCTACGGGCCCGCGCGTCGACCACCGGAACAGCGCACCGCCGTCCCAGGCGCTGCTACCCGCTGCTCTGCAGCACCAGCCGCCGCAGCCAGTCCGCCCGACTGCGACGGCCTTGGCCGCGGCCCTTCGTGCTACTCGCAGGGGAGCCTCCGACGCTCGCGCTTTCCTGTTCACGGAACGTTGGTCGGCATGTCCTGCTTGGGTGCAGCTGCTTCCACCACCAAGGGAAAGTTTTGCCAGACCGTCGGCATGTCCCACGGGTGGCAGCACCACGTGACGCGGACACGCACCCCTTACCTTCGCGATCTGATGCTGTTGGCGCGGCGACTGAACAGCACTTTTAGAGGCTGCTCGGCGTGACACCTCGCAACGGCGCAGCTTTGGTGCAGCCACGCAGGATGCCGACGTGTTACTCGAACGCAAGCGGGAGCAAGCTTGCGCCAAAGTAAGGGCGGGTGAAGTATCCCGAGCTCGCCAACTGCGCACGGCGGCCGAACTCGCCCCCGGCAATGACGAGTGCAATGACGCGACCTGGCGTGCGCTGACTGACCCCGTCCGACCGGCGGCCACAGCGGCGGCTCTACGCGATTCACGGCGGGGAGGGGCTGCGGGGCTGTTGGGCATGCGAATCGAGCGCTTGAAGATCTTGTTGATCGACCTTCCCTCTCGAGCTCCTCGCTCTTGCAGCGACGCAACTGGCGAATGCCCGGGTGCCCGCAGATGTCGCACCGGCCCTCGCCCTGGCCCGGTTGACGGCGCTGCGCAAGCCTTCTAACGGTGGAGTGAGAGGCATCGCAACTGGCGACGTGTTCTGCCGCCTTGGCTCGCGAAGGGGGGGACTATACTCGGCTGGAAGTCTGCAACATCGGAGTTCGTCGCGCCCTCGTGCTCCGTGGAGGTGCGTGCGAGCCAGAAGCATGCGAGGCGCGAGGAGGAACAACTTCCACTTCGTCAAGGTCCGGCATGCGCACTGCTGAATCGCGGAACTGTTGCAGGGCCGTGGTCAACGCTGCCCGGACGGCGGCTCGTATGAAGGGCGGCACGTCCTGTAGCGTAGGCACCGGGCATCGGAGCTCTTCGGCCAAGTCCACCGTGCCCAAGGCCAGCCAGTTTCCGGCAGCTGGCGGGCAGGCAGGGACACCTTCGTCAGGGCACTCACTGGACGCAGGGGTTGGCACCGCGGGTGCTGCGGAACGGCGGCGAGCGCCGCGACGGCGTCGCCGGGTGGCGGGCGTGGCGGGCGGTTCGTGCTCGTGCCGGGCATCGTTCGCCAGACTCTGCGCAGCGGCAGCCGCAGACGCACCCGCGGGGGACTCGAGAAATGCTGCTGCATCTGTGAGGTAGCCATCGGGGGCCATGCAGAGCAACAGTGCGGCCGATTGAGGCAACGGGGCGTCGGGCATGGTGGAGAAGGATGCCGCCGATGCGCGATGCGCCGCAAAATGCCTTCGCGAAAATATTGGTTGCGAGTGCGCGACGCATGTAATGTTCCCAGCCATGCGGCCAGTCGTTTTGGGCCAGGCCTTAGTCACTTGGTCGAGGTGGGCGGGCACCCCAGAGGACTTCGTTCCAACAAGGACATTCACGAAAACCTTCGCTTTGCAAAAGCACGCGTGCATCCGCCGCTCCCTTGAGACCGGGTGCGGCATCCCCGCCCATGGCGACGTGGCGCGCGCAGGTATCAGCGAAAGCCTGTGCGGGCTTGGAGTACAGTAGGCAGCTGGCGCGGTCCGCGCAGCAGAGACCAGGCCCAGGCCCCCAAAGCAACCGGAAGGGTTGCCAAGCTCCGCCGAGGCCAAGCTGCAGCATCTCCCAGATCGCCTCGTCGAGCGTTTGGGCATACTGGACGACCGAAGGGAGAGCGTGGTTGGCCCGTGGCGAAGTACACATCGTGAAAAGGAGCCACGCACACTGCAACTCCGGCAATTGGCGCAAGAGCTCTCACTCGGTCTGCAGTCGTTGTACCGCCCACGACGCGACGAACTGCGCATGGCCGATTCGGGTGCAAAGCACAAGGAGCCCTCGTTCAGCGGGAGGCGTGTCCCCTCGCCATACATCCGCCCCCAGCGATTCAATGCCGGGAAGGGCGGAACCACCAGCCCAGCAGTACGCACGGGTCTTGCCCTCAAATGAATGATCTCGACCACAGTGTCGCGAGCGGCACGTGCCCGGTCCCGCGTAGTCAGGACATACAGATTGCCCAAGAATGCGAGGCGAGTCTCCTTGCTCGCAGCCTTCGCCTTGCGAGATGCTACAGCATCGTCCGTCAGAGCCCCACCAACAATATGTGGAGGGCTGGCCATAAAAGAGCCGCATGAAGGGGAGCAGCTCCTGTGCGGTCCCGTGGAGGCCGGCTACAAAACATGCGCGGGACATGCTATCATACACGCTCCGCCCATCGAGGGAAACGAGGACTGTTTCGTCACAAAGCTCGAAGGTTAACTGGCATGCGGCATGCGTTCTGAGCATTTGAAAATCCCGCGCCAAGACCAGCCAACCCTAGAGCTCCTCGCTTACGCCGCTACCCGGCTGGCAAACGCACAGGTGCCAGCCAACGTCAGGACCCAAACCAGGTGCTGGTGTCACTGGATGGGCACGTCCGCCGCGCCCGAGCTCCTTCTCGTCGTGAGGATTTTCTACGGCCGTCCTTCCACATACTGCTGGTGGCACGACTCGGGGCACTGATGCGATATTGCCCAAGGAGAAGGGTGCGAACAAGGCGACCCGGCGCTTTTCGCCCTCGGCTAGCATGCCGCTTTATGCCAGGCCTCGTCCCGTCCGCACTCCACTCCTCCGAGCGACTCCTAGCGTTCCTCGATGACCTGTACCTCCTGACCACACGGGAGCGTGCACGTGAGGCTCGCGACACCGTGGTGCAGGCAGTGCAAAAAGGATGCGGCATCGCTTCCAAGGAAGGCAGTCATACCGACGGAGCGCCCCCACCAGGAATCGCCGAGCTGGGCGCTGACGTTTAGCGGGGAAACAAGCCATCTCCCGAGCGCGGCCTCAAAGTCCTGGGCACACCCATCGGCCACCCCGATTTCATGGCATCGTGGCGCACTGAATGCGAGCTTCTGAACTAATTGCCGCGCCTTCCTGACTTACAATATAATGTGCGTGGCTCCTCCTCGCTATGTGCTATGTGTGCCTCGCCGCGGGCCAACCAGGGGCTCTGCACGGTGCCGCCGCTGGACATAGCCGGCTACACGCAAGCCCATGACGACGCCGTATGGGAGACCTTGCAGGCCTGCCTCGGCGGAATCGCGTCTGGCGCGGCGGACGGCGCACGGAAACTGGCGACTCTCCCAGCGTCGCTTGGAGGCCTCGGTTTGGCCAGCGCGGTCCGTACCGCGCCCGCAGCGTACTGGGCGGCATGGGCTGACGCAATCCCTGTGCTGGGCGAGCGCGCCCCGGCTTTGGCCGAGGCATGCGTCCGCCAACTGGAGTAGTGCGGAGGCCCGCCCACCAACGGTGACTGATAGGGGCCTCGGTGAAAAGCCGCATGGCTGGCAGCACAGTGCGTCGCGAACTCGCAACCTGTACTTCCACGAGCGCGCGTTGCTACCAAGCCTGCCACCCAGCGCTTGCGCTCTCAGGTTGGGCCGCCGCACGCAGGTGCCTGATTAACCGCCATCCCGGCCGAGACAGCCATCACACTGTCACGCAAGCGAGGCAGCTTGCGCTGCGCCGCCGTCTGCGCCTCCCACTCCCCCTCCGTCTACATCGGTGCGGCCCTTCTCCCGGATGCGGCGGGCTCGTCGACGTCTTCGGGCTCTTGGCACGGCGAGCAAAAATCGTCGAGCGGGCGTTGGTGAGAGTCGCGCGCGAAGCCGTTGGGGCGGATGGTCAGGTAGTCCCGCAGCAATGGCTTTCCAACACCACTGCTCCTGGCGTTGCGCCAGACGACAGACGCTGTCTTGACTTAGTGATCTGCTACTTCGCATCGCCTATGGGAGGAGCCTTGTGCTGCGACGCGACCCTTGTGTCGCCACCGACCCGAACGGGCCAGCCACAACCCGGCATGCACGACGGCGCCATGCTGCGGGTTGCCGGAAGCGAGCCGCTTACCCCGAGCTCCGCAACGGCTTCTCGTGCTCCGAGACTTGGTGCGCATCCGAGGCCAACGGGCACCGCCGGCACTGCGAGGGCCTCCCGCCAGTGCCCTCCTCCGATCACAAGCTGGTCCGCAAGCAGGAGCATGGCTGACCGCCATACCAAGCGAGCCCGCTGCCACTCGACTGCCCCGAACATGCAGCTGGCCCTGCGCCGCCGTTTGCGTCTCCCTTGCCTCTCTGCCGCAGCTGCTGTGGCCCGCCCGGCTGCGGAGCAGACATGGATGCCTATAGGCGACCATGCACAGGCATGTCCGTGCAGCGGCGTGCGGGCCCGCAGGGCGAAAGTCCTAGAACGAGCATGGGTGCGCGTGGCCCGGGAGGCAGTCGGCCTCAAGGGCTTGGGACACTACAGGAAGGCCAACAACAACAGTCGTTCGCTTTTCTGCATGCTAAAGTGATCCAAACCAAGGTTGGGTTTGGCAGTCTGTCAATCAGTTGGTCACTAGTCTGGTACTCGTACCTGCTTTTGGGGCACCTGACGATAAACTACATTCAGCATACCCGAGGGGCAGGTGGGTTCGGATGCATTCAGCATGTGAGGACCCTACTCTTCGTTATTACACAAGTGGACAGGAACGAAATGCCAAGCACCGAATATTTCACAAAGAACTTGAGCGATGTTTCCACGCCGATCGTCGAGGTTCTATGACAGCACACTGTGGATTGCAGCATTGTGCATTGTACACAGACATTCCCCGTTCCAGCTGTCGGAGTTGACGAGCGCACTACAGTCGATGAAAAGCCGCAAAAGTAGTGATGATTTGGGGCTTGTGGTAGAGATTTTTCAAAAGGAAGGTCGTTCACTGCATGAGTGTTTGCTGGGCATGTACAGTCGAATGTTACGTGATGAATGCTTGGAGCATTCTTGGCAGCAGTCCTTGTTCAAAATGCTCCCCAGCCCAAGTGATGTTGCAAAAGTTTCGGGTTGGCGACCTATGCGACCTATTGCGGTCTTACGAGTTACGTACAAGGGGAGATCAAGTGGGCTTTCGTTTCGAACTTGGAGTTGATCCTTTTGCAGTTTTGGAGACAATGGTTCGGAAATGCAGTGAATGGAGAGAACCACCATGGATCGCCAGCATTGCTTTGCGAAAGGCTTTTGTTTCGGATCCAACGCGAAGGCGAGGCCAAGTTTTTCAATGCTGGTTTGGAGACGCAATCCGGAACTGTAAGACCGCCGACGCTCCAGTGTGGGCTGGGCTCCCACAGATGAAGTCAGCACATACGCACGACGAAACCATGGCACGGCCCGTGCTGCGACATGACGCTCGTGTCATCGCTGACCCACACAGGACACACACACAAACGTGATTTTTTTGCCTTCACCCTCGCCCGTTCGAGTCATGGTGAGACACACTAAAAGCGTTAAAAAAAAGAAGTTCTCTGTCCATGTGCTTGCCGGATGCCAGGTGCACACGTGCCCTGCCGATATTGACGTCTGGCCAATCTTGTTGTCCACATTTCCACGGGATACTGCCTGAGAGCCTCTTCCACACGCAACTTCATGCGTTTCATGCCAATGTTCGTCGGCAATGCGGATCCATCCTACGATTGATCGAAGCATGCGTCGTAGCACAACATCCAATTTTTGCAGCCGCTGCTGCGTCAACGGGAGAGTGTGCAAAACATATAATACAGTCGGAGTCGCAGTTGCATCGAATAACTTCAATCTGAGTTTGATGGATGCCTTTCTGTTTGTCCACACTTCACGATGTAATTGGAAGTTGTACCATGCCGCATGTATTCTGTGATGTGTCGATGAAACAAGTTGCCATCCAAATGTCTTCAGGTGTGACACAAACTGTCACCCGACACGGCTTCGCAACCAATGCTATCGCAGTCGCATGTTGTTGCCGGCCATGCCGCCGAGTTCCCGAGCATTCCCGGGCCATGCTCTTTGCACAAGTCGGGCCGCGTGCACCCCTGCATGGCTCCCAGCCATGCCAATCGAGCCAAGCGCAACTTTGACTCCACAAAGCATGCTTCTGGCGCTACGCCGTCACCTGCTGCAGTGACCTTTGCCCTTGAACCCCAACCGTGCAGCCCAAACAAGGTTCGTATGTTGGCCTCCCTGAACGACTGACCAATATAAGATACGCTGATGACATCGTATTGTATGCAAAGACGTCCGACGGAGTGGTGTTCGTGATGGAAAGAAAGTCCTATTCAGGAGTCCGACAAAATTGGACTTCATTTGAGCCCGCACAAAACCAAGGTATTTACAACTTCTGATGTTGAATCGCATTTGTATGTCGACATTTGTGGCAACATGGTGGAAGTTCTCATGGATAGGAATTGTGATCTCCATGAAATTGTGTGCCCGCTGGAAACTGTCCGTGTCACGACGCTTCTTCACCGCATCGCAGGCTACAGGACGCTACGGCAGCACAACCGGGGGAGGGTTGCTGCCACGCTCGTCCTAGCGCACGTCAGCCAAAAACTTCGTTGCAGCTCTGGCGCGGACGTTGCCGGTTGGTGGTCGTCAGTGGTTGCTTCGACAGCAAACACCAGGCACCGCTGCGACAATGTCGCGCTCATGCCCTGGACCAAGCGGCGCCAACTTACCTTGCCGTTACCGGCAGGCGGTTCTAAGAGGTTGGGGGTGCGTGTGCATGCAGGGTTGGCCGAGAGCTCGGGCCCGAGGGTCGTTGTCAAGATTTTCCACAGAAATTCAGTGTCAGTTCAATCGGTGCCTGCTCAGTCAACCAGTGCTTGGTGCCAGGGCGTTACACGCGACCGCAATCTGGTGCACGAGGCTGGTTTCGACATGTCTGTGTGCACTGAGCTACTCAGCCTTCCTTGGTTGAACCAAACGCGCCCGTGGTGGAGGGCACACCAGGCAGGTTTTGGTCGATACGAAGGGCTGTCTGAAAAATGCGGTTCGGAGGAACTGTGACATCGGGGTGAAGTTTTGCTTTCGCCGCATGACAACATAAACAACACATGGTGCCGCGGTGTTGCCAAGTCAAGTGTGAGGAGGTGACAGCGTCGCAAAACAAAGAGCGAAATTTAATCCATTGCCCCATCCTTAGCACAAGTGTCGTCGCACGTGCGTTTCGCCAGGATGCCGTACGCAGAACATGGCATGCTGAACCTTGAAACACAAGGCCGCGAGTACAATCGGAAAGGCTGGACTCAGTCCCGAGCTCAGTTTGACAAAGAATCCCAGCACCAATTAGTCGTGACGACCACGTGATGGCTGCAAGCTGTATCGCCGCAAGGCAGCAGCTTTGCCGTGTTGTCCGGGGTATGGATTACACCTACCACGCCAGCCAGGTTTCGGTTGCGAGTGAAGCGGTTGCAGATCATGTCTCGATGCGGCCAGTGACCATTGTGGCAGCCATTGCTGGTGTTTACCTGAACCAGTCATTTGCCAGGCTAAAGCACAGCCAACGCAAGACAACCGTGCCTCGTTCGGATCAGCGTGAGATGTTTGTGGCAGCCGCGGGGTCATGCCGCATATCTGCGTGGAGTGAGGCGAGCTGGTGTGGGCAGCCAAACAATCGGAGGACTCGAAAGTGCGCCGCGCTCCAAAGGATGCTTCAATGCACATTCCCTGTTTTGCAGGATTGTTGCCAGTGTTGCGCATGCCATTGCAGTCCTTCGGCCTCGAATGCGCTGGTCTGCGCTCTAAGGTAAGAAGGAATTGGAGCAGACATTACGTCGGAATCCCAGGCACTTTGGAAGCTGTGTATCCGGGTGAGGTGCATGTTGTGGTTTTGTAATGCTCCTATCTAGTGCGCGTGCTTTTGAAGATCAATGGGCCCTGAAATAAATGGAATAAGCAAGCAGGTAAACGAATAAATCAAATGGATGACTAGGTTAGAGTCAGAGATAGATATATAGCTAGATAGAAGACAAGGAAAAGTAGATAGACAATGATAGATACATAGCTAGGTAGATAGCTAGGTAGATAGATACATGAGTAGGCACATACTAAACGAGGTGCTTATACAGATATGTGTGCGGGCCTGTTCTCTTCTACTCAATTCCATTCTGTTCTATTCTGTTCTATTCTATTCGGTTCTGTTCATTAATAGATCAATGCGATTATAAACCGAATGGTCCTTGTATTTATAAAAATTTAAGGTCTTCAGTTCAAGAATGCCAACAGTTATTACATAGTCTATATCTTCTAATCGTTCGATATCGTCAGATCATAACCTATCTCTGAATTCTTCCGTAATTACGGCTTTCGAACAACTTGAAGGCTGTACGGATGTCAGAAAGAATAATTGTACATTTTTGTCTATATCATAAAACTCTAGTGGCAATATCAGCAGAAAGATTCGTACTCGTACTGGTAGTGCAGAAGGTAATGAGGGTGATCAGAGATTTCAGTTCATGTATTAAGCAAATCGTACGCATAGTTTTGTATATGTATACTGGTGCATATACAGATACTTATGTCTTTATTTTTTAGATTGACTTATAATATATTTATATGTGCAGCTTCACATATGTCTATTTAGATTTAGATAGTTATACATTTAGACGTTTTTACATGATATATATATATATATATATTTGCATTTGTATATTTTGTTGTTGTGCATCTATTCACGTATACATGAACTTATTCTTACATGTACAATGTTGATACGTATACACCGGTATACTTATATGTTTATGTACCGACATATTCGTATATTTACATATCTGTATATTTGTATGTAAATATTTTTATATGTTTATATTTGCATACTTATATATTCATACATTTGTATATCTGTTTATTTTTATGTTTATGTTTTTAAATAAAGTTACAGATTTGTATATTCTTGTTTATATATGTAAAAGATACACATTTGTATATTCTTATTCAAATATGTATATATATATACACATGTTTGTTCATGCATGTATGAATGTATGTACTTATGGAATATTAATAATAATAGCGGCTCTCTGTGGGTTCATATTGATGCATTCCCCCACCCCAAACCGCAAAAGCCAAACACCCCAATGTCACACTGATATCTGCCAGTGATATTCAGTTTTGGGACGCTTCGAACGGTCATTACCTTCAGGTAACGCCACGTCACCCCCGACACAGTGCACACGTTTGTCCTGGATGCATGCACTCGCTGCAACCCCGACATACATGGCTCCGGTGCACACGCCGTCCTGCACGCACACACACGCCGTGATGCGCGCACCCTCCCCCTCTGCGGTGCAAGAACTCGAGTTGCAGAGAGCTGTGAGCTCTGAAATCTTTCCTTCACAGAACAAGCGCACCCCGGGGCTGCGGCTGGGGCTGTAAGACCTGCGAGCCGGGGGGCGCACGAAGGCACTCAGCGATTTATGCTGTTTGTTTGACTACGACGCCTGAGGTAAGATATCCTGCGGAATCGTGAGCTTCCTTAGGTACTCCGTCCTCTGGATGCTCGTTGCGCCTTGTTTGGGTGATTCGGAAATTGTGCATTTCCTTTTGCAGACTTCTGATGCAGTATTCGGGGCGGGCGGAAGGCGGGTGGGCGCAGTCGGTTCACCGAACGAGAACAAATGAAACTGCGTGTTGGCCGTGAAAAGCCTACTTGCTGTCCCTCTTCAGTCTCGGTTCGGTGACTGCACTGCGGTTACCTGCTCTTTTTCCTCCTCTGTCTCGCAGGCTTCGGGTTTCTTGGTGGTTCCGGAGTGTTGTGTGATTGTTGTCTCAGGTGATTCGGGATAGATGCCCCCGCTTGCTAAGGCATCTAAGGTGTTCTGAGGTGATGCCGTCTGTTGCCGCCACAGCCTTTACAATCAAGCTGCCGCGTGGGAACCATGGACGAGCAGGCACAGTTCACATGGATGGCTATGCAGCTGTTGCAGCAACAGCAGTGGCAGCAACAGTTGCTGCAACAGCAACGTCTACTTGGGGCTTCTTCTCATACAGGTGCTCTTGCAGCTGCTGCTGGAGACCCCACTTTGTTCAATGCTGCAGGTGCTGGTGCATTTCCGAGTTGCTTTGCGGGCTCGCAACCTGAACAAGTTCACTGGCCATCGAGTACGCCGAGCATGCATGCCCCAACTACTGCACCGCACTCTTTGGTTGCGGAGGGCCCGCCATCCAGTGTTGACAGTGCGATGGGCACCCATCTTACCTCACCATCCAAGACAAAGTGCCGATTTGGGCGCAGATGCAATCGCAAAGACTGCTGGTATCTTCATCCCGAAGGGCGCTTCATAGACAGCGTTGCTTCACCTCGACGGTCTCGTTCCAGATCTTCAACTCGTGCGCGAGCTCGGCATCATGACGATTCACCCATAAGGCGCATGCGCTCCTTGACCCCAGTTCCGACATGCCCACCGAGGCGTCGTCTTGACAAGACTGGCTCTTCATCCGAATCAGGTGAGATGGCCGATGAGAATGCTCCTCAGCAGGACAGCTGTGAGGACAGCAAGCCCCACAATCTGCTCAGGAACACGCTGGTCTCTTGGCCTCGCGTCATTTCTTCTAGCGGCAAGCTGAAAGATGTAAAGCATGACTCTCATGGATGGCCCGTGCACTTCCTCAACCCCCTGTTCCCTCGTATGTCCATCACACTTGATGACTTGTTGATGGTCATTGACAACTTGAAGAAGCAAGGGCTTATCGTCTGCGAGAAGCCTCAGTTGGTGTCCCCAGGTGTGCTGCAAGTGAAGTTTGGTCGTGGGGGCGGTAATCTTCAAATCTACCCAGGAGCCACTGGCCGTAGCTCTGGGAATGGGCGCATCAACAGTTCCAAGGAGGATCAGGTCAGAGCGCTCAGGGGCGCGCTCTTTCGTTCTCAATGGTTCCATGATGCTGGGGTAGGCCGCGCTTCGCCCCTCGACATCACACCTCAAGTCACCTCGACTGTCGATGGCAAGCTGCTCCTCCCATCCATCTCACACTTGTCTAGAACTGCTGATCTCACAGCAGTGTGCTCTTCAGTTGCGAAGAAGATGGGGCCGGCTGGAAAGATGGCCCTTGCTGACTACATCAAAGAATCCGGGTTACGAGAGGATCATGAGGTATGGCCGCTCTTGGAGGCGGCGTTCGTATCAGCTCGTGCACCGCGCAGCAAGCGCAAGGCTCAGTGACTATCTCCGCCAGGTGATGTGGCAAGCGGTGAGGGGCTGAAATTTTGCTTCCTCAATTGATCCTGCCTTTCGCATCGCAATGCTACAATCAACCATGGTAAGATTCTTGATGTGCTTATGTTCTTTCATGATCAGACGTGTGCCGTATTGTGTGTCGCAGAGACAGGCGTGATGGCATCCACCCATGTTCCCTCCCAGCCTGATGTCACTTTTGATTTTGTCCACACCGACCGCTCGTGGCCTGGCTGTGGTGTCGGTATATTCTTTGGCAAGCAGTTCCAGGGACGATGGGCTCGTTTGAACACCGGCCTTGACTCCTGCAATTTTGGCGCTTGGATTGCCAAGCTTGGTGTCCAATCTTTCTTGTTTGGTGTTGTGTACGCTCCCCACTCTGGCCATGGGCGCGAGGCCAGATGTGACATGTTCCATGCGGTGCATCAATCCTGGAATCGGCTGAGGAAAACTCATCATTATGCCATTCACTTCTTGGTGGGCGATATGAACCTGCCTACCTTCCTCAGTGCCGGTGTTGATCGAACCCCGTCCTTGGATGAGGTGGTGGTAAATCGTACGTTCCAGGCTCTCTTTTTGCATGATGGTGTGTTGCTGAACACACGTACTGGTCCGGCCGAGCCCACACACATCAAGGGCAATGTATTGGACTTGGCCATCGCCTACTCTGGTCATCACGACCCGTCACTTCATGTCGTCCCGCAACGTGTGGCAGGAAGCGACCATTTTCCACTGATGATTAAGACTCCATGCGCTGTCAACGAGAATGAGATCCCTTTGAAGTGGTCCACGTTCGCTGACTTCCCGGTTGAGGCTTTCTTGTCAGAGGTCACTCCTCTCCTGGTGGGCCTACATACATGGATGGCTTCGCGTCTTTGGTGTCAGGATCTTGACCGGGGCAGCATGTTAGACACGCTGGTTCAAGGTGCCGCGCTCCTTGGTGTCATATTGCTTGGCACGCTCTTCCAATGTAACTCGCCATATGGGCGTTTTGCTAGGTCTGTCACCCCTCGGAGACGTCGGGGTCGTTTCCCCAAAAGGTTGCGTGATGCTATCGACAGGATGCGCAGTTCCCGTGGCTCCAGCTTGCATCGGATGCATCGGCGCACTGTGAGTCGATTCTTGCGCAAATTCAATCGGCAGCGTTGGGCTGTCTGCCGCAATGTACACCGTTTAGTGCGGGATGACTTGAAGCCTAAGTCCGCGGCGTCCTATCTTATTACAGTCGGTGATGAGATCCTCGATGATGCGACTGCGCAACATATTTGGATTGAGTTCGTGCGGTCACAAACGTCATGGGATGGACAAATCGCTCCGGAGCAGATATTTGATCTCTACCAAGGTTGGTCTACTGAGCCTCCTTGTATGCCGCCGATGCCTGAGGAGGCGAAGCAACTTCATCATTGCACAAAGCATTGGTTGAAGGCGGTTGCGGATTCACCGTTGGCATCTCGCAGCCGGGCTCTCGCACAGTGGTCTGAATTGTGTGACGCCATCGCCTGTATCAACCTCCGCGCAGCTCCACCGCCCACTGAACCCATTCCTGTCCTCATTTTGGGCTTACCATTGGAAGCTCTGCGGGCTTGCTTTGTTGGTTTGCTGAACCTCGTCATTCTGACTGACCATTTGCCTGCCACTTGGGGCTCCGTAGTTGTGACGCCGCTCACAAAGCCAGGGAAGCCGCGGCAACATATCGAGTCCCACAGGCCCATCTCTCTCATGCCACTTGGCCTGAAGCTTCTGGACAGGATCTTATTCCGCCGCATTTGGCCGTCCATTCGAGCTCAGGCATGCCCCTGGCAATTGGGTGGAAGTAAAGGTCCTGATGTAAGTTTTGCGTTTCTGGGGGATCTGCTGCGCCTGCGCTCGGCAAACCTGGTGAGCTGCCTTGTCGTCTTCTTGGATGGTCAATCTGCTTTCTGTCGACCCGCGGCTCTGGCGGCTGTCGCCTGCTTGCGTCGTCTGCCTGGAATTCATGAACATAGTATCCTGGCAATACACACGCTGCTTTCCGGGTTGTGGTCGAGAGTTGCGATTTTTGGATCGGTGCACCCTCCATTCAAGAATGAAGTGGGTCTGCCACAAGGTGGTTCGCTGTCTACTGCGTTGTTTGTTCTCCTCACCCTGCCTCTTTACGATAAGCTGTGTGACTACGGCACTGCGTGCAATCTCAACCTCATTGATGAGAGCTTGAGTTTCCCTGCAGCTGGCTATGTGGATGATATAGCCCTGTTGAGTGCAGACCCGGTGAGTGCACAAACAGTTCTGGATGCTGCAGAGCAGTGGGCAGCAGGCATTCGCATGACATTCAACCTTGGTGTCGACAAATCTGCTGTCTTATTGAAGGCAAACTCAGCTGACTTTGGTCTCATGCTGCATGGAAAACCTTTGCCTCGCACTGATCGCTACCGGTACCTGGGTGCTCTACTCACGCCCACTGGATGCGTGGGCCCCTCCTTGTTGGACCTTGAAGACAGGGTGCTCCGGAAAACAGGCACTTGTGTCGGATGGGCTCGCTCCAATGAGGTTCCGGCGTCATTGCTTGGAAAGTTATGGTGCCTGTACATTGAGCCACTCGTCTGGTTCCTTGTTGCGGCCATTCCGTTGTCTGACGCCCAGCTGAAGCGTCTTGACTTGTTACAACGCAAGGTTGCCCGTATGCTTTTGGGCCATTGTAAGCGCTCGCCAGCTCCATCCTGTCTGATGTGTTTGGGCTGGACTCCATGGTCTTTCCATGTGGCGGCTGTGCGTCTAGGCCTTCTGCACAGGGTCTTCGCAGATCGGAATAATCTCATGGCGCAGCTCTTCCACACAGCGAAGCTTGTTCCTGGCACGTGGGCTCATCTCGTCAACTCAGATCTACAACAGGTGTTTGGGTGCAACGACCTTCCAGCATCCGCTTCCTGGGCGTGTGAGTTGCAGGCATACAGAAAGACATGCAAAACCCTGGGGTGGCATCATGTGGTCGACTCCTGTTTTGCGCACTTCAACCTCACGCACTTTCCCATGCGAGCAGCTGCTGACGTAGCCAGTCAACACGTCATC